GAAAATAAAGAAAGTGGGTGGCACCATAGCCAAGCCCGAAGGTTAGTGGTAGCATGGTGAAAAAAACAACCGGTAAGTAAAGTCATAATCACATGAATAGAGGCTTTCCAGACGCATCTGACAGCGATTAGAGCCTGATTCAGTCCAGAAAATCCATTGTGAGTGTAGCCATTATTTAGTAAGAGCATGAAAAACATACCGCAAAATCAAGCCCTGCGATCGATAGAACACCACAGCCATGTGGCCGGCCGTTCTCGAACTGCCCGCTCCAGACAATCGCTCCACGATAACGATTCCATTTGCGGAAATGATCCTTAACCATTCTCTTTTCGGTTTTCGTGACATTAAGAGCTTCGAGCTCCTGCTCGAGCCGGTCAGCCTCCTCTTCCAAGTCCTTATCGGGATCAGCGTCGACTTCGCGTTCATCGGGGGCCTCAAGGAATTCCCTTGTCTCCTTGAAATCCCTCTCGATGTCAATGTAATCTTCCCACTCCGCATCGGAGGCCATCTTCACTCCCTCGTCCTTCGCCAATTCCGTCGGCGCCGCCTTTTCCTCACTCCTTTCGACCGCCCAACCATCCTCGTCGACCGCGTCGTCACTGTCGTACTCGTCAACTTCCTGGATTTTGGAGGCCTCGTCCACAGCATCCTTCGCCATCTTTATGTATTGCTCGTCTTCCTCGTCTAGGGGTTCGTATCCGCGCTTCAACTCCGCCTCCGTATACTCCACTTGAAACGGGTTGTACTCCGGTTCAAGTGCCTCCCTCCTCTCCGCCTCGATCCTCTTTACATCCTCCTCCACCTCTTTGTCCGGCACTTCCACATCGATCCTCTTCTCCAGCCGTCGATCCTTGACGAACCGAATGGCTTCCTCGAGCTCGTTGATGTACTCCAGCTTCTGGTCCGTAACGCCGAGAATCGCGAACGTCTGTCGATTGTACAGATCCAAAACAGGATCCGGTTCTGGCGGTCCATAAAACTCTTTCACATCCGCCGGGATCACCGGCTCCTCGTGAATTTCCATAGCGGCATCCAAATCGTCCCTGCGAAAGAAAATAGGCATAAGACGAGGGATGGCAGCAAAAGGACCCCAAATTCCCAAATCTTTGAGACACCAGTTAACAATTGCGTGCAAGCCAAGGCTTGCCACTCCTCCCAAGAGACAGCACGAACGTCCTTTTTCTTTGGACCATTGCGCAGAGTAGAGGTATAAATACACTGAAATTTGCGGAAACTTCGGTGAAAATTTGTGAAAAAACTGTGATTCAAAATTTTGAAACACCTGTTCATCAGAATCATCACCATACATACAGTGAAACCCCCACCCCAACCCACTGCAGATTGGGAGGATCAGGGTAGGGGGAAGTCGGAAGGAAGGGGGGGGGAGAGGGGACATCTAGA